TATTTATTCTGACCACATCATATTGATTTTTTTTACACCAAAATCATTTAGAGGGGCTTTAAAATATTTTAGGGGGGCTCCAGCCCCGCTAAAATAGGCCTTGTGACGCCACTGCTCCTCCCTATGCTAAAAAAATGATAATAAAAAAAAGAGGGAGACAGAAAGAAAACAAACAAGCAGACAAATGAAAAATATAGACCTCRTTTTAATTTATGGTGCACTTAATTGATTTATTGCTTATCACTATGTTTTTTATTTCTTTTTACCAGGGAGACACTGGAGCACCAGGCTCTCAAGGGGCACCAGGTCGCATCGGTGATGATGTAGGAAATGCCAAATRACAAAAAGTATTTTGGTCTTAAATTGTAGCAAAATTGACACAGCTAAAATATCTGTTWTCAGGGACAAAGAGGTCCGAGTGGATTTCCAGGAACCCCTGGGGAAAAGGGMGACCAGGCAAGTTTTACACAGATTGATTTTTACTGTCGTTGTTGATCAAATCTGACTCCTCCCTGTTTGCAGGGTGCACCTGGTTACAATGGGGCTCCTGGACCCACAGGCCCTCCTGGAGCTCCTGTAAGTAGTCGGATCAGTTTGAGTTTCTGCCTCACATGGCTTTGGCCCTGGCACTAATAGATTAATCTGTCTCAGGGTGTGGAGGGAATCCGTGGACGCCTGGGTCTGCCAGGTCCTAAGGGTGATGATGTAAGTCCTAARTGTTTGATAACACTACAGTATGAGAAAAAAAACTACATTAAGTAAATCTTCATGCTACCTAGGGAGCTGTGGGACGTCAAGGATTGCAGGGTGTTCCAGGGGAGAAAGGAGAACCTGTAAGTATTACAGGTAAGGTTTCTAWAACTCTGTTCTGAGCATGACCTTTTCTAATTGTGTGATATGTGCTTACAGGGAGAACCAGGCAAAGATGGCTTAGATGGACGTCCTGGAGCTGATGGTGAAAAGGTAATCTCTAAAATCAGTTGGTATGGGTTCACTAACCCACTAACCTGCAGAACTAAAATGTTGTTGAACGATAGAGTTAGTAATCTATCTAAACCATTTGAACAGCTCATTACAACAAACGATAGGAACACAAGTTACCACCCTCATGACGTGATGATATATCTCTCTATGAGATTATAATGAGAGTTTATAATGATATTCTCTTGGCATGTGACTCTGGTGATCATGTTATTCTTGTTTTACTGGAC